CGTTCGAAGGGATAGCCTGACTGCAAGGGACAAAATGGCTATTTAACATGTGCAATATCCAAAAGCATGCATTTGGGGCACCCTGTGGGGGGGGAGCGTCTACACACACTAAGGGTCCTTGACATTGGGTCAGTCATGTAGGTGATGAGGAACCTGCATCACGAAAATGGTGAACCACAGTTTGTGTCTTTTGTTTGAAAGGACCATTAGGAAAGGGTTTGGGAGGATTTTTATTGAATGAAGATTGGATTCTTAAAGGGACAATATACCTCACCAGTCTGGAAAACTGCCTTCTATGGAGAGAACATACTTTTTTCACATTCCTTTGGTGGTGTTATTTATGTGTTCGTACTGGGTTTTGTGTATCACTTCTGATTAAATAATTGAAGAAGGAGAAACAGTTTATTTTTCATATGAGCCACAATTATTGTTTGCACTTATTTTTTTAAAAATTGTACAAAATGAACATGTGACCTGGATTATACAGTTTCCCAACTCCAGATCTATTTTCATATCCACTCACAGGAGGAACCAACAAATGGAACCCTGTTTCAATGGAGTTTGCATTCCACAGTTCACAGCTTTGTTCAAAATGGCCACAGAAATTCTAGTATAGCCAATAATTAGATATTTAGATTGCTTTCACATTTTTATAAATTTCATTATTTAGATTATTTTCCAGTTTTTACATATAACAAACAGCACTGCAATGAACATGATTAAAGCTAAAACTATGCAGACATCCTTGATATCTTAGAGTATATACATTTCAAGGTTTTTGATACACTAGATTTCTTCCTGTTCATAGGTCCATGCTCAGCCACTGAGCCACACCTGCCAGGTACTGTCTCACTTTTCTTGTGCTGATTTCAAGACTTTTTTTTACTTTTTGGTTTTTAACCATTTGATTATGATGTGCCTAGACATAGGTCTCTTTGTTTTGATCCTTTTTGGGGTTTGCTAAGATTCCTAGATATGTAAATTTATATATGTGTGTGTATGTTGTCTTCTTCCAGATTTCCAATCACACGTGTGCCTCATTACTTGATATGGTCTTGTTGAACTCTCAGGCTTTATTTCTTCAATCTTCTCTCTCTCTCTCTCTCTCTCTCTCTTTCTTTTTTCCCCCTCTTTGTTCTTCAGATTGTCAGCTATGGAAAAAGGGTTAATAAATTAGAACAGAACAACAGATATTTTCTGCAATTAAAGTTATCTAGTGAGTTTCCCATATTGTATCTTTGATTCTAGATTTACATTTGGTTCTTTTTGATAGTGTTCACATCTTTCCTGGATTACTCATCTATTTATTTACTTGTTATAACCATATTTTCCTTTAACTCCTTGAGCATATTTACAATATAGCAAACAGTTACTCAAATAAGGTTGTTTCATTCAGTGTCATTTCTTTATAACATAGGAATTTATTTCTGGTTTACTTATGTCAGTGGTAAAATTGTTTTAATTACATGGTGCTTTTCATAGTCACAGAACCTATGGATGACATTAAGTGAGGACTTACTGTAGTTGTTTTATAATTCTTATCTACTAACTTCAGGCCCGGTGCATGAAATTCATGCACTCAGGGGGGCTCCCTCAGCCCAGCCTGCGCCCTCTCGCAGTTGAGGAGCCCTTGGGGGATCTTAAGCTGGCAGTCAGTCATCCTTAATGCTGCTGTGGAGTTGGGAGAGGCTCCCGCCACTGCAGGTGCGCTCGCCAGCCATGAGCCTGGCTTCTGGCTGAGCGGTGCTCCCCCTGTGGGAGCTCACAGACTATCAGGAGGCAGCTCCTGCATTGAGCGTTGCCCCCTGGTGGTCAGTGCGCGTCATAGTGACCGGTCGTTCCGCCGATCGGTTGATTTGCATATTAGCCTTTTATTATATAGGTTTCCTGGATCATCTCAGGGTCTACTTCTATTGCCTGTATTTTTTCCTCTTGATTATGGGTCACATTTTCTTTGGATGTCTAATAATTGTTTTACTGTGTTGGATGTTAATGAGGGATACATTATAGGGAGTCTCTATTAAAGGGTACTGATATTTGTTCTGAGAGGGAATTTCTGGCAGAATTGGTCCTGTTCGATAGACATTTCCACTTTGAATTTAGTGGCACATGGCTCTTAGTCTAGAGCAGGGGTGGGGAATATGAGGCCTGCAAAATCACTTGGTCTGGCCCTGCCAAGGCATTAGGGGTGAGTTAATTAAATGTTTGACCAAATATAGCAGGCTAATTTTTAAGTTGATAATTTTGTATGGCCTTTGAATGATGTTATAAATATCCAAATGGCCGTTGGCAGAAGGTGATCTTTATTACCAAGGCATGGCTTTCTTGGTGTCCAAGCAGAGTGTCTGAGGTGCTTATGAAGACCTCTTTATTCTGGTTGGGCAGAACCTCCAGAGTCTGCTGGCACTGCATGACCTCTGGTGTCTCCTATCAGTGCTCAGCCCCACAGCTGCTGCTCTCTAAGCCTCATGAGGTTTTGCCCTGGGCATGGACAGTGGTGAAGCCCTGGAGAAGTAGCTTTGGAAATTCCTCACGAAAATGTTTGGGGCTTACCATCTGCTACTCTGGCCTGCAAATTCCAGATAATTCTGCCAGTCGGAACAGCCACCACCTCCTCCTCCTCAGCTCAGTGAAACTGCTGTTCTACTTAGGCAGAACATTCCCCCCAGGGCAGAAAGCCAGGCTAGTCCCAGGGCTCAGCTCTTGTATTTCCCTCCTCTCAAGGCTCGCCGTCCTGTGCTGCCTGTGGTTCAGTGTCTGAAAACAGCAGCTTCATGTATTTTGTCCAGTTTTGTAGCTTTATAATGGAGGACAAGTCCAGTAGCAGTTATTCTTTCATGGCTGGAAGCAGAAGCCTGGTGGCTATTTGCTATATCTTCCTCAGTAATATTAATGACACACCACTGTTTTTTTTTTTTTTTTAATTTTTTAAATATATTTTATTGATTTTTCACAGAGAGGAAGGGAGAGAGATAGAGAGTTAGAAACATCGATGAGAGAGAAACATCGATCAGCTGCCTCCTGCACATCTCCTACTGGGGATGTGCCCGCAACCCAGGTACATGCCCTTGACCGGAATCGAACCTGGGACCCTTCAGTCCGCAGGCCGATGCTCTATCCACTGAGCCAAACCGGTTTCGGCACCACTGTTTCTTTTAAATATATTTTTATTGCCCTAGCCAATTTGGCTCAGTGGATAGAGCGTAGGCCTGCGGACTAAAGGTTCCTGGGTTCGATTTAGGTCAAGGGCAAGTACATTGGTTATAGGCTCCTCCCTGGCCCAGGCCCTGGTCAGGGATTGTTTAGGAGGCAACCAAACGATGTGTTTCTCTCACATCTCTGTCTTTCCCTCTCTCTTCCACTTTCACTAACAATCAATGGGAAAATATCCTTGGGTGAGGATTAATAAGAACAAATATATATATGTATATCAGAGAGGAAGGAAGAGGGTGAGAGAGATAGAAACATCAATGATGAGAGAGAATAATTGGTTGGCTGCTTCTTGCATGTCCCCTACTGGGGATCAAGCCCACAGCCTGGGCGTGTGCACTGACCGAGAATCGAACCTATGATCTACTCTTTTAAAATATGTAATGTATTTTTTTGCATGAGAGGTGAACATGCATTTATATGTAAAATTGGCTTTAAAAATAGTTTGAAGGTAGCTTTCAGTAAATAAGTTCTATTTCTCCCTCCCTTCTTCTTTTCTTTATATTTTGTGACTGATTCACTTGTATTTGCATAGCATTTTTACTTTTCTAATTGTTCTCATTATGTCTGGTCCTTTCTTTCCATACACACAATCCTAGTGCATTGTCTCATTACGTCTTGCCTGGAGAATTTTCACTTCTCATAAATATCTCCTGGCCAATCACTTCCACATTTTAATCTTCCTAAAGTTGAGTTTCTCGCTCTAATGTACATTTCACTGTTTCATCTTGCCTTTCCAACTCTAGCTGTTTCCCAACCCACCTTTCAAACCAGATTTTGGGTGTTCTTCACTCAGCAGCCTTCACATTTTCCTTTCCCTGACTTCTACGCATGCTGTTCCCTTCACCCACAATGCCCTTCTCTTCTCTCCACATAGCTGTTTCTCTTTATCGTCCAAGGTCCACCTCCCTCCTTCCACCCAGTGTCACTCAGTTGAAACCTTCCTTGTTTCCCTGTGCTCTTGTTCTTCCTGGCCAGCTCACACTTGAATTTCAGGTTCTTGTACATATCTTGTCCCATTAGTGTCCTACACATTCTAGACAAGAAATATTTGTCATTTCAGTCTTTGGAAACCTGTGATTTAGGCGGGTTGAGGAGCTATTTCCATTCACAGAATAAGGAAACCAAGACCTGAAGTGTTTAAAGGGTGTCACACTCAGAATTAAAGACTGACTCCAGATTTACATTCCAAGTCCTCTAAATTTTTTCTGCAGGTTGCGTCTACCCTCATCTGATTTGGCTGCAAATTACTGTAAAAGCAACATAAAACATTTTTATTGATTTCAATCAAGAGGAAGGAAGAGGGAGAGAGAGAAACATCAATGATGAGAATTATTGATCGGCTGCCTCCTGCACGCCCCCACACTGGGGATGGAGCCCGCAACCGAGGCATGTGACCAGGAATCAAACCTTGACCTCCTGGTTCATAGGTTTACACTCAACCATTGAGCCACGCCAGCTAGGCTGGCTGAAAATTGCTTTAGTTGGCTACTAAGTATAAACTCATTGTTTTTTAGACTTTGGACATGTCCACATTTATAAAAAAAATGAAGTGGGGGGGAACTCTACCTCCTACTCCTGCCTTTGCTGTCCTTGTGGGCTGTGGCTGCCACAAAATGGAGGAGTAAAAGGCTAAACCCTGGTCCCTACAGCCCTGCTGTGGTGGGTCATCCTGCTTGTCTTGACACACCAGACAAGACCCAACGAAAATGCTCTCCGTTTTGCTGCTTTCTAAGTGTGTCTTGGTATCACTGTGGGATTATAATTCTCTTTCCCTCTCCTATTTTCAGGCGCTTCGCCTTAATCACACGGCCATGGGCAAGACCACTGTTGGCCAGATCGTCAATCTGCTGTCTAATGACGTGAATAAGTTTGATCAGGTAAGCTGCCCCTGAGTGGTCCTGTTTCATTTCCCAACCTTCCTATCTCGTTCACCACGGGCCAGGATTCTGTTCTGGACATGAGACTTTTAATAAATAAATAAATAATTCAACTTTCTTTCTCTCTCTCTCTCTCTCTCTCTCTTTTTTTTTTTTTGATGTGCATCTTAGATGTAATATGTACTGTCCTATAGATGAAAATTTTGTAATTCAATTGTAAATAGGCAGACAGCAGTGTTCTTGCCCAGCTTGGTTAAATGTACCCAATAGTCTTACTGGGTTTCTTAGCACATTGTGCTAGGGTTATTGGCTGAGTCTTTTTCCTCCTCTAGACCAGTGGTTTTCAACCGGTGGTCTGCAAGGTCCGCAAGGTTGGCGACTGCTGCCGATGAACTCCTGGTGGGTAGGGATTGTTTTTACCTCTGTGTCCTGTGTAGTGCCCTAGGTCCACATGCCTGCTGTGTACGAAGCCTTTAATAAGTAATGGCAAATGGTGGTCCCTAGCCAGAAGCAGCCTACTCTCCTCTAACTCTCTACACCAGGGGTCCTCAAACTACGGCCGCGGGCCACATGCAAATACAAATATTGTATTTGTTCCCGTTTTGTTTTTTTACTTCAAAATAAGATATGTGCAGTGTGCATAGGAATTTTTTCATAGTTTTTTTTAAACTATAGTCCGGCCCTCCAGCGGTCTGAGGGACAGTGAACTGGCCCCCTGTTTAAAAAGTTTGAGGACCCCTGCTCTACACTCTCGTTTTCCACTTACCTGTTGAATATATCCCATAATCCAGGACATCATAGCTGCTGGTCAGATCTGTATTGTGCTAGATCACTTCTCTTTTAACCACTCATTTATCAAAAATGAACTAGGGTTCCTGCTCAGTTTTAGGGATGACTAAGACTTTTTGCCCCAGAGAAGCCATAGTCTACTAGGTAGATAAGTACACAAGGAATTATTGGAGCATGTGGTAGGGACCCTACTATAGGCTCTTCCTGGGTGATGGAGAGCCTAGAGGAGGTGGGGCTGAATTGTATGTCAGAGTTTGGGGAAGCCCTGAGCTCATCTGTGGGGAAGACAAAGCCGAGATCTTCCTTCCAATGCCTCTGGTCAGGTTGTCCCTGGGTGTGCCTGTGTTGTCCCAGAATGGTAGCTTTTTTGTGCCGTAGCAGGTTGAAAACCCAGCGTGATCACTTCTGTTTAGGTTCTCATCTGTACTGTTCCTTCAGAGCAGATTGTTTCTATACTGTATCTTTCACTGGTTTTGTTTTTAAATAGTCCTACAAAGGCTTTGTCTTTTTTCCAAGGTCACCGTGTTCTTGCACTTTCTGTGGGCGGGCCCCCTGCAGGCCATCGCAGTGACTGTCCTGCTCTGGATGGAGATAGGAATATCGTGTCTCGCTGGGATGGCCGTGCTAATTATCCTCCTGCCTTTGCAAAGCTGCGTGGGAAAGTT